CTCTCTCTCTCTCTCTCTCTCTCTCTCTTTTGGATTTATAAACAATCTAGACTTCCTAAAATGGGCTCCCATTATATAGCTATATTTTAAAAAATACTTTAAGAAAACACTCAAGCTATCTGCCATGACCTCGATCTGCTTAGTTTTCCTTTTAAAAAAACTATTTTTAAAAAACCACAACAACAACAGTCCACGTGGGAAAACCATGGACCCTGCTCGTTGCTAAGGAAAACAAGTCACGCCATTAAAGCGCAAACACACTGTCGAAGTGTGGCGCATCGCTTCAGCATAGCAACCAATGTATTATTGACGCCGGCACGGAGAGCGATCGCTCGTCATTTATTTATGATCCGAAGAACTTTTCGGTCAAGACAAAGACAATAACTCATAAAATCGCCCAACAAAAGCATCATCTTGACCAGTGACCCCTTTGCCAGGAGATATATAATGAAACCGATGAATTGTGAAACAGTCAAGGGCGAACAACTCTCCTCCGATGAACAAACAAGAAAAGGACTCATTAAAGGACAAACACCTTGTGTCCACAGCTAGAAACAAAATGCTAAACTTCCACATTAAAAAGGGGTAATAAAAATATTTTCACAGAGAGATCACAATAAACAAATCTTCACATAGTTTCTTTCCGGTTAAGTCGAAAACACCCAGACCAAATTCAAGCCAAACATTGAAACCATAAATTCTTCATAAACCTTTAATAAAAACTTCTATTTTTTAAATACGTCAAAGGAAACAGGGCCAAATTGAAAAAAGATCTAACCTTTCAGTTTTCCAAGTACCAGACAGATTTACACGACTTGAGAATTCATTTCCAACCTAACGTTCTTGCAAAACCATACTATACACACTTGCAGTCAAACCAGCAAAAATGACCACAGCATCACAATCAAATGTCTTTCGGAAACTAATATCAAACATCCAACTTCATAGCACCTCATAAAAAAATAATCTGTATATTCTGTTCCACAATTCTAACTTCATTTTCTGTTTCTTAACCATTAAGTTACCCTCCTCAAATTTACTTCTACTTTCAATACTTAAATACTTCACCTCTAAACTAATCGCAACAGGAAACAAAAACAAACAAAAAATCACCCCTTGTCTCACCCCCACCCTCACTCTACGTATAAACCAAAATTTATCCTAAATCAAAAACGTCAAAAACTTTGCTTTAACTAGTTTCAAATAGCTGGTCAAGTTGTTTAAAAAAAAAAAAACAATAACTAAGAAAATTACTTACGTGTGGGCCAGGTCTCGATCGAGATCTCTAATCCTTTTCTCTGTCTATCAACCCAAAACAGCAGACGAATACGTTACACGTTGAGGGGAGGGGGGCAAAGTTTCCAAAGAGAAAAGAAAGACAACAAAGCAGAATTGTCTCAAATGACGAAGTGTGCCATATGAAGGACGGCTACAAATAATTTCTAGATACGAGCACATCTGATGAGACATGATTGATCAATGGGGAAAGCAGAGGCAAAGTCGTACAGAATTTTGGGCTCTGTAGTCGTCTTTTTATTTCTCGTTAGGCTGTTCAGTTTTTCTCAGGTTAATATGATTCACTTTTTTTAGTGTAGGGTGTTTTACGTCCCCATCGACATAGTTGATAACGTAGGGGACGGGCTTCGACCCTACCTGTGAGTGCCAACATGGGATGAGAAGGATACAACATCCCAGCAGAAAGACTGAGATGCTCGATAAAAATTATCCCCGCACGAGAATCGAACACACGTCTTCGGCGTGCGATCTCACAGACGTGGATTGTCAATATGAAAAAGGCCAGAAAGGTCACAGGTATCGTTATGTTAGAATTCATGTTTCTAATTGGCACTTCCTGCATTGTCTTTAAGGGTCCTGGTGATTTATAATCTTGAACATACCATTTCAGGAGCAGGATGTTATTTATTAAGAATTGTATTGGTAACAATAATGCAGCTCATGATCAAAAGCAGAGAGTTGCATCCTGGAGGTGGAGTCAAAACTCCGAGGATGGCTAAATAAAGAATACAGCAGAATTGCTATCACAGGACTATTCCAACAGTACGAAAAAAAGGACAGACAGTTGGGTTGTTTTGTTTTTTTAACCTGAAAAGAAGCTACGACAGAAAGAACCAAAGACGCCCACGAGGAATTAATACTGAATGATTTGATAGTATATGGAATTGGAAACATTATTTTCAATTTTGCACACGTTTGGTAGTCAGCAGAAGCAAAAGGCACACATTACTGACAGTGAGGGCTACCACATGACCAAAGTCATCACTCTAGCACTCGATACACAGTTCAGTTTTAAACATAGACCTACAAGTGCCCTCAAAGAGAATGTCGAGAGTTTCCACCGCTTCAAAAGTTGCCTTTGCATTAAGCTAATAAGAAAAGAGCCCGCCCTTCCCTTTCGCCTCAATTCTCTCGGGTGGGGTCGGTAGTATGGTGGTTAGGCTATCGGACTCCTCATCGTGAGATTACGGATTCGGGGGTTCAAGGCCTCGGTCGGTCCTCCACTGTGTCCTCGGAAAAGGCACTTTACACGAATTTCCCCATTTGGATCGGTCTTACCAGAGATGGACGTTGAATTCGGAGGTCTCGCTTCTTAAATAGCATTACAGTGTTGCAAAGAGCGTTAAACCTATACAATTTCGAAGATTACTGTAAAGAGCCCATTGTGTTTGTGTAGCTAAATTACCATACGGAGGTAACACTTCGACCTTGCCTGTCATGGTCAACCCGGAAAGCAAAAAAAGGAAGATACACCCAAAAAATGAAAACATTCAAGCATAGTCATTGAACTCACTTTTTTAAACGTATTGCATAATGTATTACTGAACACCAAGATAGCCGTTTTATAAACCTACTTGTTCATGCAGACTTTCATCACACTAGGAAATAAAAGTTGCGATAAAAAGAACTAAAGGAATCCGCTTGGAAAGTAACTGTGTGTTATCATATTATGCGGATTGAAAAAACGACATTCTACATTCTTGAACATATCCAGCGATGAGCAGATTCAAGAAGGCGTACATTCCCAATTAAGTCCAACATCCAAAACAACTGTTGCTATTTCAAGCACTGCCTCATCGAAGGCGATTCTCAGAAACCTTACTATCGACATTCCCTGTGGGGGCACCTTTGGACTAGCTGCTAGGGAGGGTTGCATGAGAAATGTACGATAGTTTGTGTGCAGAAGGCTGAGACGAAGGAGGTGGGAATGGGGAGTTCAGAGGAAAGGCAAAAGACTATGGGGTGCATAACAGTCGGTATGTGTGGTTTTGTGTTTTGTAGCTATAATATATTAATATTATAATATAGTTGTTTGTCTGGCTTTGCCTGAAGAGATACGTTTTATTTAACATAGTCAATTTAAAGGTATAGATGTCATGGGAAAAAATAAACAGAAGGCAGACAGAACTAAAGAGCAGAAAAGACAGAAATGGGTCCCCCTTTATCCCTCAACTATCATACTTCTGCCTCTCTCCGAAAGGAGATATAATTTTTACAACAGCAATAACAGCAAGGATGGGGGTATTCATTTTTTAAAAATCTGAACCTTAAGTCTTACAGATAATGTAATCACAGGCCTTAGCTCATCACCGGGAGGTCAAGGACGCAGAAAGAAAGAAGTTTCGTCTAAAAAATACTAAACTGTTGACGGGACACTTTGACTGTGCAACAAGGAAAGGTACCAATCGTTGTACAGTATGGAGAAGTAAGGAGTAGGAAGCGGGGTGGGGGGGGGGGGGCATGGCATGTGAAAGAGCGTGCAATCAAAAAATTATAAACAAGCCAACAAAAAAAAAGAGAAAAGAACTCAGTAACAAACCATCAAATACAACGTATATAATAATTTGAAAGAGCCAGTACACAGATTAGAAAACAATGCCAGAGCAGCTGCTTCTGTCACGTGACTTTTTAGGTCACCTGACATGTTTAGAATTATGTTGCAGTCCTTGTATGTCTGACCTGAAAATATTCTCGTCTATTGCCATTCTTGTCATTATGGTGTTTCCTTTTAAGTGACAGAAGACAAAAATAACCACATGCATGAGTTCAAGAAAATATACACGTCACTCATCACAGAAAGCAAATCTAGAAAGTGACAAATCTATCAATTCTTGAGAACAGGATAGAAAAAAGACAGAACCAGTACTACTGACCTCTTTACTGTTGAATTCTGGTCCAAATCCAAGATCATTCGCACGCCTGAAAGGAAATAAAGGAAATAAGAGAAAGTACATTACCAGCTGAAACTATACAAAGACAAACACATGCATAAGCACAGAAACACGTGTAAATACAAACACTCTCTCTAGCTCTCTTTTCACCTGAGACCCAGGTCTTTGAGAAAGACAGGTCTTTTCGGGGTTTTTTGTCATGCTCTCTCTCTCTCTCTCTCTCTCTCTCTCTCTCTCTCTCTA